TGTGTGTGTGTGTGCGTGCCCAGGATCCCGAGAGGAGAATGGAGGAGAAGGGATTGTGGCATGGCCATCCCCCCGGGGGATGATTTCTCACTTTTTTTTTTAAATAATTATTTTATTTAATTTCATTTACCCATTCATTTATTTTAATTTGACTAGAGAGAAAGACGCACAGAGAGAGGGGGGAGGGGGAAGTGAGAAAGCAAGCCACCAGGTTCGAGACTTGAACCATAATTGGCCATGTGGGAGTGTCCAGCACCTTAACCACCACTCCACCTGCTGGTCCCATCTCACTTTCTGTCTCTCTGTCTCTCTCTGTCTTTCTGGCAAGCGCATGTGCCCTATAGCAAAAACCTCTCCAAAACCAAAACACAAATTCAGATGTTGAAACCTAACCCCAGGGTCAGCAGGTGGCATGGTCATTCCCCATGGGTCACCTTCCCTCTCTCTGTCTCTTTCTGGCAAGCACACGCACCCTATGGCAAACACCTTTAAAAAAAAAATAATAACCACGGGAACCAGCAGTTAGCGTAATGGCTATGTCGCTGGACTCCCACGTAGTTGACCGCGGTTCGCGTCCTGGACCCGGTGGCTTAGAACTCATGCTGGGCGTGTGTGCGTGCGTGCCCAAGATCCCGAGAGGAGAATGGAGGAGAAGGGATGGCAGAAAAACTCTGGGGGGTGATTTCTCGCTTTCTGTCTCTCTGTCTCTGTCTGGCGAGCGCACGCGCCCTATAGCGAAAACCTCTCCAAACAAAACAAAAAAAACAACAGGTGAATAGAGGACACGAGTGCGGCTACGTTAATCTAGGTGGAGGGTGTTTTTGAGACAATCTGGGGCAAAGGAAGTAAAGGAAAGGAGTTTATTTGGGCCAAGGGTGAGGATGGCCACCCAGGTGGCCACAATATGGAAGCTGCCCTGGATACGCTGTTGCTAGGAGAGGAGGAAGGGCAGAAACACGAGTGGGAAGGGGTGTTACTTCGTCATGTTGGGAGCAGTAATGAAGGTGAACTTAAACCACATGTCACACTGCATCACTGTTGACATCATTGTTTTTCTAGAGATTGTTGCTATAGAGCACGTGCACTCACCAGAGACAGAGACAGAAAGCGAGAAATCACCCCTTGGGGGGGGGGTGGCCACGCCGCAATCCCTTCTCCTCCTCCATTCTCCTCTCGGGATCTTGGGCACGCATGCACACGCACCTGGCATGAGTTCCAAGCTGCTGGGTTCAGGAATCGAACCACAGTCAACTGTGTGGAAGGCTAGCACCTTAACCACTACGCCACCTGCTGGCCCCAACATCATTGTTGTTATCTGGTGGTCAGTGGTTGATTTCTGTGGAAATTTTTTTTTAAATAATTTATTTAACCTTATTTATTTTAATTTGACCAGAGAGAGAGACAGAGAGAGAGAGAGAAAGTAAGTGAGAAAGGAAGCCGACAGATCCCAGACTTGAACTTGGCCATGTGGGAGTCCAGCACCCTTAACCAGCACATCACCTGCCGGCTCCATCTGTGCAGATTTCTCCACAGAAGCAATCCTTGGGTCAGCTCTAAGGTCCTACAGGACAGATTGTGTGGTTGGAGTCCTGGAACCTGCAGCTTGAGAAACATACCGTGTGTGTGCATAGGTGTCCAAAATCCCGGAAAAAAAAGGGAGAAATGGAGAGGAATGGATTGCAGTGTGATTTTGTCAGACGGGGGTGCTTTTCTCACTTCCTCGCTGTTTCTCTGTCTCTCTCTCTCTCATGTGCCCTTTGCAAAAACAGAAAAAAAGTGAAAAATTGGGAAAAATAAAGTACTCTCACGCCTCTCCATATGTTCTTCCAGCTGTCTCCCTTTCACCTTCTAAGCACAGCAAAGATTCCTCGGAAGAGTCTCTGTGCACCAGCGCTTTGCTTCAGCTACAGCTGCAGTCATTAAATGTTTAATAGCCGGCTTTCCATACAGACAAACCA